TAGTGCAAAGTGCAAGGTCCTGCATTTAGCGACTAACAATAAGAATTTTTGCTATAAACTGGGGACTTATCAGTTGGAAGTGAGAGTGGAGGAGAAAGAGCTGGGTGTATTGGTTGATCACAGGATAGCTATGAGCCGTCAACTTGATGCAGCTGTGAAAAAAAGCTAATGCAGTCCTAGCATGTATCAGGTGAGGTATTTCCAGTAGAGACAGAGAAATGTTAGTACCATTATGCAAGGCACTGGTGAGACCTCATCTGGAATACTGGGTGCAATTCTGGTCTCCCGTGTTTAAGAAAGATGAATTCAAACTGGAACAGGTGCAGAGAAGGGCTGCTAGGATGATCTGAGGAATGGAAAACTACTTTATGAGATGAACCTCCAAGAGCTTGGCTTCTTTAGTCTAACCAATAGAAGGCTGAGGGGAGATATGATTACTCTGTATAAATACATTAGAGGGATAAATACCTGGGAGGGAGAGGAGTTAAAGTTAAGCACCAATGTGGACCCCAGAACAAATGGATATAAACTGGCCATCAACAAGTTTAGGCTTGAAATTAGATCAAGGTTTCTAACTATCAGAGGAGTGATGTACTGGATCAGTCTTCCAAGGAGAGCAATGGGGGCAAAAAAAACCCCTTAACTGGCTTGAAAACTGAGCTTGATGAGTTTATGGAGGGGATGGTATGACAGGACTGCCTACAATGGTGTGTGGCCCATCGGCAACTGCCTGTAGCAAAAATCCCCAACGGCTGGAGACAAGACACTAGATGAGGAGGCTGTGAGTTACCTGGGAAAGAATTCTCTGTAGTATCTGCCTGGTGGGTCTTGCCCATGTGCTCAGGGTCTAACTGATCATATTTGGGGTCTGGAAGGAATTTCCCCCCTGGTCAGATTGGCAGAGACCATGGGGGCTTTTCACCTTCTTCTGCAACATGGGGCACGGGTCACTTGCAGGTTTAAACTAGTGTAAATGGTGGATTCTCTGTAACTTGAAGTCTTTAAACCATGATTTGAGGACTCCAGTAACACAGCCAGAGCTTAGGGGTCTATCACAGGAGGAGTAGGTGGGTGAGGTTCTCTGGCCTGCCATGTGCAGGAGGTCAGACTAGATGATCATGATGGTCCCTTCTTACTTTAATAGGAGTATCCTAGTAAGAATAGACATTACAATTTTAAACTAACCAGTGTCCCTTAAGTGACTTGCCACAAGATGTCAGAACATGTTAGTATTAGAGCTGAGTGGGTCTAATATTTATTTAATGTTCTTTCTTGATATAGGAATTAGATATGGTGCTCCTGTCAGATATTTATTAGTTATTATCTGCAAAAAACAGTTTTCAGTTGCCTAAGTAGCCCCTGCAATCACAGTTAAAGTTGCTCCCCCCCCCAATCTGAAATGGTGCCCCTATTGTCAGGCATGGAATTTGTCGTCCCCCCGCCCCCCATGCAGCCCTGTTGGCCTGACTGGAGCCGCCCCCCCCAATATAGAAGTGAAACTACACCTATGCCCCTCTGGGTTCCTACTTTTTTCACCATTACTCCCCCATTCCTTTGCAGGTCCCTGCTCCCTGTCCACCCTTGCCAAGTCCACTCCCCCACCCCCAGCCTCCCTATTCCTCTCACTCCGCTTGCCCCCTCATCAGGTCCCCACTTCTCCCACTACAAATCCTCCTTATAAGGCTCTCTTAGGTCTCAGAGTGGTAGCCGTGTTAGTCTGTATCAGCAAAAAGAACAGGAGTATTTGTGGCACCTTAGAGACTAACAAATTTATTTGAGCATAAGCCCACGAAAGTTTATGCTCAAATAAATTTGTTAGTCTCTAAGGTGCCACAAGTACTCCTCCTTTTTTCTCTTAGGTCTGTTAGAGTCCAGGCAACAGACAATGTCTCCATGCAGCAAATTAAGTTGCTGCCTCCGATATAGGTTGACAGCAGTAGGGGGCTGCAGAAAGATTTGTCTGCTGGCCACACAAGGCAGTCTGGAGGCCCCGATTTTCCTGTGAATCAGTGTTCCCATTTAAACTAAAATCTGTAGGTGCATGCCCAAGGCTGGCTCCAGGCACCAGCCGACCAAGCACGTGCTTGGGGCGGCACCTTGTAAGGGGCGGCCAATCTTGGGGTGGCGCGGCGGCGCTTGGGTTTTTTGTTTGTTTTGTTTTGGCGGGGCAGCGCTCGGAGGGGGGGTTGGTTTTGTTTCAGCGAGGCGGAGCTGGGGGGGTTGTTTTTGGTTTGGCGGGGCGGCACTGGGGTTTTTTTGTTTGTTTGTTTTTGTTTCGGTGGGGCGGCGCTCAGGGGGGTTGTTTTTGGTTCGGCGGGGCGGCGCTGGGTTTTTTGTTTGTTTTGTTTTTGTTCGGCGGGGCGGTGCTGGGCAGGGGTTGTTACGGCGGGGCGTTTTTGTGGGTTTTTTGCTTGGGGCGGTAAAAAAGTTAGAGCCGTCCCTGCGTATGACATCCTCAAAGCCATTCAGGTAGTGTATATCTTATGTGGATGTGGCCCACGTAACACAGAGAGCTGCATGTGCAGCTCACAGTGGTAAACAGGCTGAAAACCACTGGTGGAGAGGGAGCCATAGAGAGGATGCAATCAAGCTGCAGTGGGGATTCAGGATCCAGATGCCTAGCATCTTTAATAGCTCTTAGGCATGGATGTCAGTCGTGTCCATATTGACTGTTACCGTACCAGAATATCCAGGGTTATTATGAATTAAAAGGAATTGCTCCTTGGAAATTGATACTCTCACCACTGGAGCTTATACAGTTGCACTTAGTATTGGGCAAATAACTGACTTTTTGGTTCACTGGCAGTTTTTCACACACACACGCGCACACACACACACACACACACACACACAAATCAGCAAACCAAACAGGAAAAAAAAAATCATTTAGGGTCAGTGGAAAGTTCTGTGCAACCCAAAATAAAAGGTTTTGTTTCCATATTGCACTTTTTCTACATTTAAAAATGTTTCTAAAGAAAAGTGAAGGAAAATTCAAAATGAAAAAGTCATTTTGAATTGAAAAATCAAAACATTTCCTTTTGAAAAAAGTGAAATGAAATCTTTTTGATTTTTGTGGAATTTTATTTTTTTTCCCTTGTCCGAAACAAGTTGCAACTTCACAAAATGTTTAGTTTAACCTGCATCTGCAGTTTTTGCTGAAAAAGAACATTTTCAGATGAAGAATGTCACCTAATTCTACTTGACCTATAGCGCTCTTCATCATAAGCACAGTCTATTTGCTGGGTTATAACCCCACCACAAGGAATTGAGGAATAAGGCCTGCAGCATTGCCAACCCGAAACATTCAAAAATCCTTAGTCAGGTCCTCCAAAAATCATAAGATTGGCTTAAAAAAATCACAAGATTCTTTAAAAATCAACTTGGCCAGGGGTTTGGGGGTGGGGGTTGCCTTCCCCTTCTGACCCTTTAGGGCTACACTTACATTTTCAAGGTTTTCCCCACAACCACAAGGGTGACAAACAATAAGTGAAAGCTGAGAGTCTCATGCAATCACTGGATTCCAGCAGCTGAAGCTTTAAGAACAAAGCCAAATACTGCGATTCTCATGACAAAATCGTGAGCGTTGGCAATGCTGGGCCTGAGATCATTATTGCAGACAGCAGGACTGGCCTCGTTGGCAGGAGCAATTTTAACTACTTGGATGTACTTTGATACTAAGTAGGACCCGCTGTTTATGTTTATAACATGTCTCCGTTTCTTATTAATTGCCCAAACGTCTTCTCATTGTCTCTCTTGCCGAAGACAGATTTCCAAAGGAGGTCAATATCATTTCATTCTGTCCCTCCACTTCATGTACTAGCAGGCCTCCTTCTCTAGCATTTTTTCCCCCTGTTGGCTAGAGAGATTGACTTACTCAGCCAGTAGGTCTAACAGATCTTGATTAAGGAAAACCACGCAGTAAGCGGCGATCAGTTACTCACAAGTGGGCAGCTCATCAAGATGATTTCGTCACACTTGCCTCCAGTACCAGACAATACAGCTTCAGCTTCCGTTTGTTTCACAAATTTATTGATACCTTTTTGTTAGTTTTTCTTAGACATTTCTCATTTCCATGTAGGGTGACCAGACAGCAAGTGTGAAAAATTGGGACAGGGGGTTGGGGGTAATAGGCCCCTATATAAGACAAAGCCCCAAATATTGGGACTGCCCCTATAAAATCGGGACATCTAGTCACCTTATTTCCATGTTAACTCCCCGCCCAGGTTTGGGGTTCATTCAAATCAGTTGCTTCTAGCTTTGTAGCTACTTTATCTTTTATTGGGGGGAATACGCTGTTCACTGTGATGGGGTCTACAGGCCCCTCACTGATCCAGTATTGGACTAGGGGTGCCCTGCCCCTCAACAGGTGCATAGCCTGCTCCCAGTGGAGGAAGAGTTTAAAAGGACACTGATAGCCCAGGGGAAGGAGCTGCATGTGGCACCAGGCAACAAGGCTGGGGCTGAGAGCTTTGCCAGGAGCGGCAACAGCTTTGGGAGGGTTTCTCCAGGAGCAGGGACTTGGATTCCTCCCCTTTGAGAGATGAAAGCCTGCGAGAGATGGACTGACTGAACTGGACACAGAGACGGAGGGAAGTCTGCTAAGCCAGCGACGGTGCCCCAAACTGAGGAGCTCCAGATGGGTAGGAGGTAACAAAACTTGGGGCTGGTCGGTAACTGAACTGGACACTTTGAGAGACCCTCAGGGAGCTGGGCTGACACCCAATAGAGTGGATGGGCCTGGGCTTAGGTTTGGGATGTCTGAACTGTAATGCCGACAAGCCTGTAAAGAAATTGACACTGACACAAACGCCTAATATAGAAGCACCGAGTGGGATTTACACTACGGTAGCTTAATTCAGCAACCACATGCAGACACTTACCCGTGTGCTCCTTCTGGAATGCGTCTGCACAACATACATTCCCTGATGAGGTCCAACTCCTTACGTAGGAAATAATGGCCCCTATGGGGAAAAGATTAGCGTATTTCCAAACTATCTGATTTGTCCAAATGAAGAAAATATTAGAATCCCAAGATAAAATAAGCACCCTCCTGAGTCATGAAAATCCCTTTCTTGATTTGATAAAAATTAACATAATGGGTTGTGGGGAGGGGAAAATGCCCTGGCTTTGTCCAGGGCTGGCTTTGTCTGTGACATCAGCACTAAGGCAAGGCATAAAACAGGCAAACGGGGGCTCTTTGGCTCACAGAGTCCAATCATTGGAGGAAGGAAGAAGCATCACACTCCAGAACTCCTGCTTGACACACAGTAAGTACTTTAGCAGGTCTGTGTGCCATCCACACACACACGGCTGAGGCGAAGGCATCCTGGTGAAAGCAGAGGGAGAGCAAAATAAGCCAGAGGTAAACTGGAAGGGGTTTGAACTGCACCTTTATTGAATCCACTGGTTTTTCCCTCCATTCTTTGTTTGCTTGTGTGATGTGTTATCTTGGGGACGCAGCTACGGTGTTTTCATGCAGTGACCCTTGTGTGCTGTGGAAATGTGCTTGTTAGCATGGTTGAAGTTTTTAGTGTGTGTGTTTCTGCCCACGAATGTCTGTGTACTATCCAGCCATGTGAGCAGTGTTTAAACATTCAGCAAACAGTATTTCCCATAAAGTGCTCTTTGCTGAAAGTACATAAAGTGTGCGCTGAAAGGCAAGTGTCCATACACAGTCTGAGCCTTGGAGCTTGTATCAAAAATGGCTTCTAATTCTGTTTTCCCGTTACTGAACTATAACCACTACAGTGTTGCTTTGCATGGCAAAACAGGTATTTTATGTCGATTCAGTTTAGAGCTTCAGAATTTTCAAAAGGCCTGCAAAGTAAAACTGACTCTGTATTCGTCTGCAGCCGATGCTAAGAACGCCTTAAACAATACCTCTCATCCCTTCTAAGTTGTATATGCTCCATTTTATCTCCTGAATTCCAGGTGGCAGAAGAAAACAACGCTGGGCATGTTAGGCGTCTAGCCTGTGCATTTATACTCAAATATTAACCTCATTGTTTAAGGCCCGTGAAACATCTTGTAAAACCCAATTGGAAAAAAAAGTGGGGAAGCCAGAAAAGAGTAAAATGATGTATTCAGTTTGGATCTTATTATCACCCGCAAGGGTGGTGATTGTGCATGAAGTTATGCACCAGCAGCTGTGTGCACTCACTTTTAAAAACTGTGCCCTGTGTGTCTTAGGTCATACCTGTTTCCTTCACTGACCCAGTTTTTGCATGAAGTTCCCACTGCAGACTGAGCCAGCTCTGGAAAAGCAAGGTGGATTCTCTTCTGTCTGTTGCATCAGCGGCAGAATTGCCAAATTCTGGACGTCCTGATGGCAGAATCTTTATTGCTGATGTAAAAAGCCCTTTGATTTTCAGAGCCTGGCTTGGATTTTCAGGTCTAGCCCTTTGCAGGGGGAAATGGCCTTTTGATTTAACTGAGCGCTCTGCTCAAGCTATAACAGCCACAGGTGGCATCACTGTCATTAAGAGGTCAAATATATGACACTTGAGCATCCCAGGAGATGTAGGAACTAGAAATGGGCTGGGTGGGAATGCTGTTCTTCCACAGATACTCAGAGTTACCACCTAAACATCTGCACGTTAACTGGTGTCCCTGGGCTATGTCCTGCAGCAGTGAGGTGTGGACTGCCCAAAAGTCTGTCTTTGTACTGAATGGGGCAATGGACAAATGCAGCAGAACCTGCAGCCGGATCCAACTCTCATTCATAGTGCATCGGCTCCAGTGGCAGTCTTTTCAAAGTCCGTCCTCCACTTGAATGGTGAGGGCGCTGCAGTGAGAGCCTGCCAGTTGCACGGAGAAGCACTGGTGAGGAGTTTTGACTCCCATGCCCGGTATGTTCAGCTGCATGGATGCCGTCACTTTAAACGAGAACGTAAGACGCACGCTGTAAATTGTGCCATAAGGGGTGCGAAGGAGCCTCAGTGCTCAGAGTCCGTCTCTCCCAAGGTGCCAGAATACATCTGTTATATGTAGCACCGAATTTCACATTGTAAAATTGAGTGCACACAGCTGCGGTGCATAACTTCATGTACAATTATCGCCGCATGCCGGAGAGAAACCGGGAGGGCTAAAAAGGAGGCGATAAATGGTGATACAGCCCAGGGGGAAAGAACAGGTGTGGATGGACAGAAGGTTCTATAAAGATTAGCCCATTTCCTTCCATTTGCTGCTATAAGGTTCAAACTCAGCAGCCTGCTAGTGGCACTGTAACTGCAAACAGCTGCCCTTTCTGTTAAGAGATTTCCAAACAGATTCACTTCGTTTCTACCTGGAATCTCAGGGTGATTCCCGGCAAGGGGAAGGGCTATGTGACTTTGTCAGAGTAAATCATGCTAACAGATTGAAACCACACACCAGCTCTGTGGTGGGAGGCGTCGGAGGAAACGCAAATCCAGTCTAGGGCTCGCCATCCACTGATGGCTCGGCCAGTTACAGGTATGAGAGTCAGGGCTTATGCGGCTCTGTCACGGGACTGATCCTGCTCTCCCAAAGGGGTGTTCCTGCAGCTCATAGGAATTAATGGTTCGCGATTCAGAGAAATAAGGAGCTGGCAACTAAGGGCTAGTCTAAACTAGAAAATTAGAACAACCCAGCTCCTGTTGCTCCGGGGTGTGAAAAATTCACACCCTTCTGCGGTGTAGTTAAGCTGACCTAAGTTCCCGTGTAGGTTGCTGGAACCACCTAGCTACCGCCTCTCAGGGAGGTGGATTAACTACACCGTTGGGAGAATCTCTCCTGTAGCATAGGTAGTGTCTACACCAAAGCGCTACAGCGGTGCAACAACTGTGCTGCTGTAACATTTCAAGTATAGACAAGTCCTAAGGCACCTGACTGGTGCTACAGGGGATACATGGTCATAGACAGTCATAGACCTGGGCTTGTGGACTTGGTGTGTCCAAGCTCGCACTTGAGTGTCTATGTTGCATCGTAAATCTAAGCGTCCGGTTGCTGGACCTGGGTCTCACAACCATGCTAACATGTCCAAAGTGCATTACACAGACCTTCTTTCTGACTCGGGTTTGTGGCGTGAGCTGCATTCACACTGCAAAGTGACCGGACTTGGACCTGGATCTCAGCAGGTCACAGGCTCTGACCTCCCTCTAGCTGGGTCCTAGGACCCAGGTCCTGAGTGCTTGCGGACCCAAGTCAGACTGATTTGTCTGCAGATGGAAGGGGGTTTGGGCTCAAACCCGAGTCAGTGCCTGGGCTTGATGTGCAGTGTAGCCACATCATGTAAATCCATAGGCCAAATCCATGCCTTCTCTGCAGACAGACACTGGGGCCAGTTTCCCCAGTGAGCTCCATCTGCTTTGCATCACTGAAGCATCTGTAAGCCTGTTTCGCTGGCCATTTAAACAGGCTTTCGGCTGCTTGCAGCACAAAGCAACAGGAACGTACTGGTGATTCTGGCCTCCCATACCAAAAGGTACTGAAAGGGTTAATACTTCTAGCCCTTTATTAAGGCACCTGAAACCATTCTTAGGGTGCCCGCTCAGGGCTTGAACCAAAGCCTGCTGACATCAATGGAAAGACTCCCAGTGGGCTTTGGGCTAGGCCCTAGAGCTGCAGTGTCAGATGTAGAGGTGCAAGAAGAGTCAGTTTGACAGTTGCCTTCAGTGTCACTGGGAACTGCGTGGCTCCTTCCCCGTGCACAGCTTTCAATAGGTAGCCGTCCTCCCAGAACACCTTAATGGCATAATCCATTTACATGGATTTAATAGCATAGTTCAGAACAATAGTTTGTGAGTATACAGCACCTCCCATCATCCAAGGATCATAACGTGCTTAAACATTCATTAAGACTCAGAACATGACGTCAGGAAGTATTGTTCTGCCTATTTTACAGACAGGAAAGTAGGGACTAAAGAGAGTAAGGGACTGGCAAGGGTCAGTGATAGAACCAAACCCAGAAATTTACCAGTTCTCTGCCCCAGCCCAATGGTCTCGCCACTAGCCCACCCAGCTTCAAGTTCTGCTTGCCTTATTCATGCCAGTGGGCTCATTGGGCCAGATCTTGGATCGCCTACATCCTTCCCTATATTTTTCTAACCATTGCTTCATTAAATGACAGCCTCCCCCACGCCCGAGTTTCCTTTTTATTAACATCAATAAGAAATGGCTTCCCAAATGCCCTCTCTAACGTGAAAGGGAAAGAATTAACAAGGTATTAGGACTTTCCACTGAGACTGTAGATTACAATGGACACTTAAACTTGTGTTGACTCCTCATACAGCCAGATTACTTGGTCATTTATTTCCTAGGATGAAGACATATGTCTATTTCTGAACCACTTCAGTGTTTTAAGCAGGTCAGTAACTTGGATAGAAAATAACAATGAACAGAAGAAATAGACCAGAAAGCAATTCTTTTCTTACAATATCTTATTTTCATTCACCAAGGACTACACAAAAAGGAATAGCATTCAGAGCTTGTCAGGAATGTTTTTTACTCGGTGTTTTTCATCAGAACATGCTGACTTCTCAAAAATCAAAATGTATCATGCAAAAGGATCTGTTTTGATTAATTCCTTGACTTGACTTTTTTTTTGAAAATGTTCAAAATGTTTCATTTTAACGTTTTTTGAAATGAAAAGTTCTGATTCCGAAACAACTTTTCATTTCACAATTTCAGCTAGCAATAGTTCAAAAAAATAAGGGTCAAACTGAATAAAACCCTTTGAAATGATCAAAGTGAAACATTTGGATTGGCCCAAACTGATTTTTTTTTTCCCAAATTTTCAGTTCAGGAAATTTTTGAGATTTTGACTTCTCATCCTGAGTCAGGATGGGGGGGAAATTTAAAATATTGAAATACTTTTATGGAATGGGGAAAACATTTTGTTCCCACTTCCAAGAACCATGGCCAGAGGGGCAGGAGTTTCCCCCTTGCTCCTTGAGGGGAAGGCAGAAAAATAAACTGCGGTGGGCGTGAGAAAGATGACAAGAGTATTTTATTTATAGACAAAGCACTTTGTTGGTGCTTCCTAAATATTACAGGAGTTGGGTAGGTGAGGTTGTGGGGCCTGCATTGTGCAGGAGGTCAGACTAGATGATCGTGATGGTCCCTTCTGGCCTTAAAGTCTATGAGTCTACACCCATTGGGAACTGACAGTCAGCTTAGGACAGTGTACTGGCTGCAGTTGTTCCCTGACTTCAAGCTTTTCCAGGTAGCACAGCAGGAGATGGACAGAGAGGGAGAGTTGTGCTTTGATCCTTAAGATCTTGAGATGCCTCTAGCTGTGCTCAGAGGAGGTGTCTTGGATTCTTTATGTGCCCATGGCCCTCAATCAGATCACAGCCCCTTTGTGGCAAACACACAGTAAAGACAGCTCGGTCTGAGGTCCTGACCCTGGCTACGCAATGCCATGGTGAACTCACTGCAGCTCCACACAGATGCAGGGTTCTGGACACACACAGCTGCTTGTAGGGTAAGGGCCCAAGTTACGACAAGACACACCCAGACAAAGTCAAAAGCAATCGAGCAAGCGTAGCAAACAATGTGAGGGAATGAGGTGATGGGACAACAGATAAGGTGACCAAAGGGTGCATAGCGGATGAATATACACCGTAGATGGGTCTGAGTCGTCTTACAAGTTCAAATAAATTATGAGATGCAAACAAATGCACAAAATACTCTGTGCGATCCCCACTGTCCATTACTGAGCCATTAGCAGTTGTCACCTCCAATAGACTTCGTGACACACAAGTAGGCCGTGAGGAGAAGGAGGTCTGGGGTGGCAGTTCTGAGGCCTAGTTGGGACAGGAGCTCTCTGCACTGGGGAAGCATGGGAGAAGTGGACAGACAGGCCAACAAGGTAGCCATCGTCGGCAGACTAGAGGCAGCAGACCTAGACAAAAAGAAGCGCAGGTAAGCAGCCGAGCCATGAAAGACATTAACAGTGAGAACAAGACGTTTAACTGACTGCAGGGAAGCAGGGTGATGTAGCCATAGCTAGAAGGTCAGAAGACAATCCCAGCCGTCGGACGGGAGGGGCTTGATCTGGCTGTCGGGGAGGCCAGGATAGGAGGTTGCAGGATCGAGGCCAGAGATGACGAGGGCTCAGAGAGTTTTTATGGTCCTTGGTGCCTTCAAAATATGTAGCTTTTGGTGCAGGGCTCAGTCATCTCCAGGGCAGAGTACTCTCAAAACTCTGGGCCCAGGGCATTCACTCCCACAAACACCCCTGATGGAGGGAGCAAATGCCATGGATCTCCCCAGTGTCCGCACTGCCAGGACTTCCAAAGCCAGCAGCTACTCTGCGGCTTTACGGATGGATGGGCAGCAAAAACTTATTAGCCCTGGCTGTGTTACATCTCAGCCATGAGCAATGCAAATGGATGGGACAATGCTGGCCTGCCCCTACCCCAGCCAGCTCCTCGGACCCATGTCACAGATGCAGTTACCAGTTCAAGACATTGGTGCATGTGTCACTCTGGCGGTACGGCTTGCAGCCCTTTCACTGTCCTTATCTGCCCGGTAGTGTTGCTGCCGCGCAAGCGCCCCCTTCTGGCCAGGGATGCCTCTGCCGTGTCTTGCCTCTAGCAGCCCCTTATGCGCCCCTTAAGCACTCTAGAGAGTCCTGTACCCAAAGCCGCCAGTTCTCAGCCCCCTGGCTCCTTTGCTTGCCCTCCTGCTCCTGCTCCTTCCTCCCTCTCAACCAGCCACACACCTGCCGCAGCCTGCTGCCGCTTATATTAAATCACCTGCATCCACTCAGGCGAGGCTCCTCTTGTACTCAGGCCTGGCTTAGCCCCAGACTCTCGAACCCAGGCAAGCCGCCCTGTTACATGCCCACAGCGGAGGCGCTTGTGTGTGCACCAGTGTGTGGTTTCACGGGTAAGTTTAGGTCTCAGGTTTAGTTACAGCTCCAAGAAGGCCACTACTCACTCACTGCTTACAGTGTTGCCAACTCCCGAGATTTTTTTATCATGGGACTCGCAATATTTCATGTTTTTCTTAAAGCCCCAGTTTTTGGAATCCAGAGATTGCACGAATGTCTTGGCTTTCATCAAAAATAGTTTTTCACCCTATTGGCTGAGGAGAAAAGCTTGAAAATATAACCCAAGTGCGTTGTAACAGCTCAGAAACCAGACCGGTATATAAAAAGAAATGTGTATATATATATAATATATATTATGATCATGATCTCATGATTTGGGGGCACCTGACTCATGACTTTTGAATAACTAAGGTGTGGTTGACAATGCGGATCATGCATCCATTCCCACTGGCGCTGCTCAAAACACTTTCAAGGGAACCTTTTTTCCATTGGAAAATGCAGTTTTGTCAAAGTCCAGCTGTTTTGCGGGAATGTGTCAATTCTGACAACACTTTTAATGCATAAAAAATCAAAATGAACCATTTTGACTTTCTTGTTTCATTTCGATAGGGTCAAAACACAACATTTTGAATCTCCTCATTTTGATTTGTTTAGTTTTGACTTTTATATTAAACCAGGGGTCGGCAACCTTTCAGAAGTGGTATGCCAAGTCTTCATTTATTCACTTTAATTCAAGGTTTCATGTGCCGGTAATACATGTTAACGTTTTTTAGATGGTGTCTCTCTCTAAGTCTGTATTATATAACTAAACTATTGTTGTATATAAAGTAAACAAGGTTTTCAAAATGTTTAAGAAGCTTCATTTAAAAATTAAATTAAAATGCTGATCTTACACCGCCAGCCTGCTCAGCCCGCTTCCAGCCTGGGGTTCTGTTCACCTGGGCCTGCAGCGGGCTGAGCAGGGCCTGTGGCTGGGATGCCGGCTGGCAAGGGTTCAGGGATCAGGGCAGAGAGTGCAGGGCAGAAGGCTGGGTGTGGTGTGGGGGGGGTTCAGACGTCAGGGCAGAGGGCAGGTGGGGAGTCGTGGGGGGTTCGAGGGCGAGGAAGGCCGAGGAGTGTGGGGGGAGTTCGAGGGGTCAGGGCGAGAA